GACAGGATTGGCTCTTCCATCTCAGAAGTTTGCTGACCCCTGGTCTAGTCGCTCCATACCCTCATCAATGTTTGGCATTGTCAACCTTGTAAATAGTAGCCATTTTAATCCATGTGCAGATAAAAAGGTTTTAAATTATGTACGGGAGAAAATTCTCCTGAGGTTGGTCAGAGGTGCCATGCTTCGTGACCCTTAAGTGGCATGTCAGAAGGGTTCAGGGAAGAGTTCACTTTCTCATACTCTCGGCATCTATGTGTTGAGTTTTGACCAAGTGCCAATGCTGTTCTCCCAGACTGGGATACCGCAGTGAACAACGGAGAAAAAATACCCTGAACTCACTGGCCTTACATTGCGGTAGGGAGTAGATTTTTTTTAAATACATCAACAATAGGTTTTAGTAAAAAAAAAAAAATGCTTATTTTGAAATATAAATATAATTTTAAACTATAAATATGTGTACTATGTTGCTATAAATATCAATAATATGAAAATGTACATTTATGTATATGATATAAAATACATGTTTTCTTAACTGTAGAAAATAAAGCAGTGAAGAGGCTAGGAAGAACTTAAGGAAGTGGAGACGAGTTTTCAGTTTTAAATAGCACGGACATGGAGGAGCAGAAAAGAAGATGACTTTGGAGCAATGGCTGTAAGGATGTCTGGAAAAGAGCCATGAGGATGGCTGGCAGAAGATTGCAGATACAGGGAATGCAAGTGCAAAGGCCCTGAGGCAGCAGTACACCTGGCCAGTTCCTGGGACAGCAAGGGGCCCAGTGTGGCTGGAGCAAAAAGAGAGATCAGGAGGGTTGTGGAAATGAAATGAGACTGATATGTGAAATCAGCTGGGGTAGGAGCTATGGCACTGCCTTTACTTTTGGCTGAAATGAGACAGGAAGTATTTGAAGAATACTTGAAGACAGGAAGTATCTGGGCAATGGATTAACATGATTCTTTTAAGGGTCTCACTCTGGCTGCTGCACAGGGAAGCAAAGAAGAGTCAGGAACACTACTGAGACTTCAACTGCCATTAAAACAGGGGGGAAATCATCTATATTCTGGCAAGGATGTATGTGGTTTAATATGCTTAGCGTGCCTCACCTGAGTGTATCACTGATGCCTTAAATTACAATATATAAACTTCCATATAATATAAAATGTATGAGATATTAAAAATCACACTTAAAAAAACTGAAACACTATAATTAAAGCAAAAATGACAGCAGGTGTCATGAAAGGACAAAAACACACAGGAACACAGATCAAGTTGATTCTTTTTCCAGAGAAAAATGCGTGTGATTACAGGAAATACCTCATCTCAAATGTCTTGTTCTTTATAACTTATAATAGAATTATGCTATTGTATATGCAACATAGTTATAGTATATAAGATATATAGTTATAGTAATATAATCATGACTATATGATAGTTATATTTAAATAATCTGGAGACACAACTCTGAACAAGCACGAGTCACACGAACACGGCAGGACGTTGCTTACCTTTTCCAGGTCGGGCTCGCGCAAAGCTAAGGCCAGTTCGTTATTATCCATCACCGACGCGGCTGCCACATCCAGCGGCGTTGAACCTCTCATAGCTGGCGAGGCTGTTAATCCAAACCAAGATGAAACAGAACCTGGATTGTGCTACAACTATGAATTCCATGTAAAAACACACTTTCGCTTAAAATCTGATTTCTAAGTGCAACACACATTGCACTAACCTGAATTAATGCACATTATATTGAAATAAGTATATTCTTTACCTTCAAAATTAAAAAAGAGTCAGAAATGTACTTACCGAGACCGACACTGCTGTTTTCCAGTAAATAACTGAGATGGTCAAACATTGCTTTTTGATTCTGCCTACTTATCCGACAGAAGTAACAGAGAAAACGGCAACAGTTGGCCACCATCTTGGGAAAAGTGATCTCCTACATAAAGAGCATTTAAAATTAGCTATGAAAGGAAATTATCTTTCTGAAATTCAGTTCAGGGGTTGACGTCTCAATCACATCATCAACCCACATGTGCCCATGACTGCCGAGCCTCAGATATTGAAGACCTTCCTGTTTCCAGACTTGGACTCACCTAGTTCTTGAGTCACAGAAAACCACGTCTGGCACTCATCGTGAAACCTCAGTACCATCAATGGCTTGATCTGAAATTAATCTACAGCCCTAAAGCTGAAGGTGGCGTGAGCCTGGTTTAGAAATCAGGCAGACTACCACTATTAGCCGTACTTCCCTGGTTAGGTATGCAGTCTGTCTTACTGTTCTGTAAAACTAGAATAAGATGGATAATACTTTAGATAAGAAAGGGGGCTGTCAATGAGACACTTGAAAAATACCCAGTTGAATATTTGGAGCGTATAACAGGGTGTGCTTGTCAGCGTTACTGTTACTATTATTCTTGTTTTCATGACGACTCCAGGGTTTCACAGTTCCCCTGATTTGCACACAACCTGTCTGCTGTCATGAGCATGGGGACCAGAAGCTGGGCCCCATCAAACACATCTCTCTTGAGAGCCAAGCCTTGCTCTAGGATACCCAGATTATCCCTGGAGTCCTTCTTTAACAAAAGATTTTACAAATAGCTTTATAAATCTGTCTAACTGGTAGATGAACATGAGAATTATGGACTCATTTCCATATTTTGAAAAATACATCATAAAATTTCAAAAAAAATGTTGAAATTATTTTGCAAATCAGGGGTTATAAAATTATACTGATTTATATGAAGTTATTTATTACTCTATTCATTTGGTTTTAAAGAGGCTTATTTCAAATTTTAATCCCCTAATAATTCACCTTAAGAGTCTTACAACAAATACTCCAGAGTATCATCCTCAAATCTTGGTCTGGATCCGGAATTTAGTGGAACCAACTGTCATCTGAATCAAGGGGAATGACTGGGTCTGAAGGACGTGTTTGTGTNGCTCCAATTTCAAAGGCTCACCTGCCATCATTTGCAATGACTAAATTTGCCATAGCCCCCTGGAAAAAAATCACAAAAGACATCTCCTCCTACAACCCAAATTTCTCTCTACCAAATCCACACATTTTTCCTCTGGCCTCTCTTTGTTCATTCAACCTTCTCCAACAGCAAATTCCATCTACTCTTCCAAGTCTAACGCATTAGATATTCAAGGGGAGAAATCACGAGAACCAGAGAGTGACACCGCCATTAACAGAATTCAAATTATATTTTGGAAAATTTCAAATCAAGTAGCACAATTTACTCGTAAGAGCGGGTATATTAGACCTACGGGGTTTTAGCGGATTCACTGGTTGGTGAGGGACCGTCTCGAGAAGGATCCTCAGCTATTTTGATGGCTTCCTCCATGGCTGCGAGGAGACCGTTCCCGCCTTCCCCTCGCAGCGCAGGACCGAAACACTCAGGCCGCCGGATGAGCAGTCTCACCACCACATTTGCATTCTCCTCCACACTCTCCCCTGAAATCAGGGGAACATATGTAAACAAACATGTTCAATGGACGACCCGAGCAAATACATGCTCCACTAATTCATTGACACTGAAAGAAAAGTACCGAAAACCAGCAAACATGCAAACATGGTAGTAAAGACAAAGCTGAATTCAGATCTCTAATTTTATGTGTGCACAACAGTCGATTTCTGGTCTTGCACTTAAATTTTTCAAAGTAAATAAAGAAAAGCATTATGGAAGCATAAACTGTTCAATTCTGTTAATTCATAATTCATAATTTGAAGCCACAATCCTAGGGATTATTAGAATGCAATTATAAAAATGTATAGGAATGCAAGAGCCTACAATTTTTAATTTAATAATGAAGTATAGCATCTCTACCAAAACAAATATTATAAAATGGTTACTGTAAAAAAACAACTACAAAATATCCAATTTCTTTATTAATAGCTACTTCTTTCATAAAAATGTTGGGATATATAATTATTTTATATGACTATTTTTATGCAGTTTTAATAATGCCATAAAAGAACCCCAGAAGCAATCAGGCCTACCATTACAGAAGACAGCAAATCTGAGGAAATCAAGATATCTCTCCCCTTCAACTGGGTTCCACCCAATGTCTGGATACCCCTTAGACACCAGCATCTGGCAACTCTGCAGTCCACAGCCAGCCAAGTATCGAACTACCTACGAACAGGACGATGAGCAAAGCATTACCCCTTGGGTGAGAAGTCAGGTGCTTACACTGTATGTAGTGAGAGATATCCTCAAAGGGTGGTTTGAAATGAATGCAGCTTTGCAAGGTATTTTCATTCTCATGACAATCCACGTGAAACCCCTTTAGTAAAACCTTAGAATTCGGAAATATTCAAAAATCATAACAAAGTGCTATCATGATAAAAATGTTTATGTACCAACTCTATGAAAGAAAAAATATTCCTAAATTTCATATCATTCCATTTGTGACTTTTACCTAAAATAATAAATCAGAATATTTGATAAACTTCAAAAATGTCTAATGGCCTCTGATTCATCTGGGATATTGAAAGATCCTTCGAAGATACAAAGGTATTTTAAAGAAGTGAATTACATCCAAAATGACACAGCAATTCAATGGGGAAGAGGGGAGTATGTGAGAACACACAGAGAGAAATAGAGGAAACTAAGCTTAGAGTCCAGTGTCCTTGGGTTCACATCTGACGTGCATCACTTACTGGGTCATTCTGAACAAGTCACTTTACTTGTTAGCCAGTTTTACTCACCCTATAAAATCTGAGATACTACTACCCACCTTTCAGTATTGTTGAATTTAATACATTAAAATTTCTGCTTAGCTTTGCCTTTTAAAATATTCTTTTTATGTGAATGTTGGTCCTCTACCATATTTCATAACTGATCCACTTTTAAAAGAAACCCCTAATGTAGTCATTATCAATGGTAGCATATGTTAAAGGATCAATTTATCAAATGAATTAAGTTACACCCAGCTCAAGTTAATCAGTTTTAAAAAGAAATAAGTAATACAACTAAACATACATCAACTTCATTAAGGTATAATATATGTACAATAAGCTCATCTACTTAAAGTAGAAATTTAATGAGCTTTGAGAGATTACACATCTGTAAGAACACCGTGCCATCCGGACGCAGATTATTGCTCTCCGCCCTCAGGCCCCTGTGCCTTTTGGGGTCCTTCCCTCCCTGCCTGCCTCGGCCTGCACAATCCGCCTTCTGTCACGACATAGTATGCATATGCTAGAACGTTCATACATGCAATCATCCAGGATGGATCTTTCTGCATCTGGCTTCTTCACTCAGAATGAGGACTCTCAGAGTCATTCCTGTTTCACTGTGACACAGTCAGGACTTCCCTCCTGTTTAGAGACTACTAATAGCATCTCGCTGTGTTTGCAAACACCCCATTTTGATTATCCATTCATCAGTTGATGGACACTTGAGTTTTGGGCTAGGATGAATAAAGCTGTTATCAACATTCACGCACATATCTCTGTGTGGACATATATTTTTATTTCTATTGAGTAGATACCTAGGTGTGAAAAGGCTAAGTGTGTGTTTGTGATGGTATATGTTTCACTTGTTAGGAAACAGCTGAACTGCTTTCCACACTGACAGCAGCATTTTTCCTCACAACAGCAGGAGATGATAGGCTAGCCCAGGGGTCGGCAAACTGAGGCTCGCGAGCCACATGCGGCTCTTTGGGTACGTACATGTGGCTCTGAAGTAAAATTGAAA